AGAGGAAAAACAAATAACACTGAGTCGGTAATAGGAAGTAGACATAAAAAAAATGCATGGCGGTCGGAAACAACTGGAAGTGAAAGCCTATAACATAGTTGACTCAAGAATCCTAGTTGCCAATCTATGCTCCTACATGAGGAGTAACAGGCGTATGTCACTAGAGAGGTGATGTCACATACGTTGTGACGTGCCATGTCCAAATGTGATTCTGAAACATGGTGTGCTACACTGTAACCTCCAACCGACTATTTGAGCTAGAAAGTGTACCGGACTACCGGATAAAATGTACAAATACTCATCCGCATTTATACCATTCTAATCGTATGAAGTTGATCCATTCCTTAGCCTATGAGATGCGTTCGTTCTTTGGGTCACTTCTGATTGGTTTGGAAAACAACTTTGCCGCTCAACTCGCTGTATTGATTTACTTGTTCTTCAAGGACCAATAATCATCCAACTGAGTGGCCTACTGAAACCAAACGTTGTTCCCAAACTTAGTGTGCATCTGGAGCGTCACATCCATTGAAGATCCCTTGTCGATTGTTTCGCAACCCCGGAAAAGTTGTGTCCTCTGGATGCTTCAAGTATCCCGATCGTTGTTCGATTAGCAGTCTTACACTGACGGTCGGTAACCACTTCGTCGTATAACCTCTACTGATTTGTGTAGATCCACTATCACCCCAAAAATACCTCTAAATTTACTTCCAAACACTTGTAAGAAGTGGCATTCACATCCGTTGTATTTGTCAAGGCTTATTTGCCTTCGAGACCCAACTGATTATTTATTTCTTCACAAACGAGAGAGGTGTCAGAAGCGCTATCTAAAAGGGCCTGAGTTTCGAAACACCTTTTAGTGCCAAATAGCTTGACTGGAATAATACCCAAATAAATCTTTGAGGAGTTCAAATCCCTTGCTAAGCTCACTACATGGTTATAATTATTACCAGTTTGTGGCATCGAATGGGTTGAAACTTGCAGTTGTTGAAGTCCCAGTTTAAGGCTGAGTCATATGATCTAGCTATGTAACCCTTTCAGAAACACCGATAACAAAGACCACATCTTGTTCATTTCTGTCTCCCTACAAAATGTTCATTTTTGATTACTGTGTAAAATCTTACACCTTATGATAGCCTTGACAAAACTCGCCACTTACTACATTATTGCATGTTCTACTATCAACCTAACCTTCATAATCTTTTATACTAGTCTTCTAACTACGTTGTGCCAGCCCAGCACACGGCGTTAGAACAAACATGGGCCCTTTTCTATGAAGGTAGTTAATTATTCAGAGTTGGGTACTTTGACGGCCATCATGATCATGCTGGCGACCTTTGCCCAATTGTTCTGTAAATACAATGGTAGGTGTGACACAGTTGTTTCTCAATTGTTTATTGAATTCATATCGGTTAGATATCTCATGAGCTCCAATGTTTTAGATATATTACGTATTCTGACCACAAATTCGGTCAAGCAATCAGTTGAGTACGCAACAGGTTTATAGATGAATAAACCTCTATTCGCTCACGAGCAACCAGACATTTTGTTCCATATAAATCATGCGGAATCCTCCTATGATATTTCGCTCCTTTTTTTCCATAGTATATATCCGTTCCAAACAGACAGTTATAACAATAGAAATTCAAATATATTCAAACGTGACACAATAAAATCAATTAAAAATTCAATCCAAAAACCAGATAGACTTTTCTAATAATGATTATAACAACTACACAACAAGCCTTCAATATTAGAGTTTCAGAAGCACAATTACCAAAATACCAGCAGCTTGAAACCGAAGACGTACGAGGTCAAAGTTACAAACAAACAAGTTTAAAATTTGAGTGAAACAAATATACTAGAAGCACAGCGAAATTATTGATTTGAAAAAATATGTAAGAAGTATCCAACCTGGTTATGACCAGTCGCACAAAGGTCGTCAATATAGGTTTCACTGCCGCACTTTTTTTCTGCCTCCGAAGTTATTTGGAGAGTCAAATGTTTCACACCACGATACAAAGGGGCTATTCAGTCTGGAGATCTCACATGGAACCTTGTCCTTTCCTAGTTTTCTTTGAATAGACTGACCAGCTATCATGTATGCTGATGACGTGAAATTCCGAAGTTTCGTGGGATCTGAAGCAGACTCACGTGATTCCTAGAGAGTTTTCATGTCACTGGTGAAATGGGTTGAAGACAATCGTTTAAATTTATGCCTAACTGAACATCAAGTTATGAACACATAACCTCATGTGACACAAACAACTTGTATCTTCCATGAATATCCAATTCCAGTTATTATTATTATTATTCACAAACATCTTGTGGGTACATAAGTGTTGTGAAGAAACCATTTCGTGTTTCTTCCAAAAATGCTATAATGCACAACTTTCAATAATGTTAGCATTATACTTGCTATATTAAAAAAATTTAGAGTAATAATAGTAGAATATTAATAATAATAAATCGGGTCTGTGCAATTGAGAAGAATATTGAATTGAGTTTAAAGAAGGAAATGGAGAAAATAAAGGAATAGAAATAAAGGAGACGTGATATGATATTAGCGTAAACTATACTAGGGGTGTGGCCGAAGTACATAAAACTCCTCAATTTATCTGAAGATAGTCTAAAACTCTTACCCGCGAATAATTCCTAGCACTTTGAGTCACAGAGACGGCTTCGTCCTGAAAATTAGGAGAATGAGACGATCTGATAGTGGTGTACTACATACTAGGTAACCCAGGTCACCGGGACATAAAAGTTCCTCCTGAAACCCACTATCGCACGCTACGCGATAATTGTCGGAAGGTTTCACACCAAAGGGCAAACACTCTGGCAAGATCGAACGCTTTCTCACAATAGGCCAGTTCTATCCGGAATGTTCTTCCAGCTAATATGACAACAGTTTCCTCGGTAGATGACCCTCAAAGGTGGTTTGCCTATGGTGCATACACTGAACTTGGTCATCTTACTCTTGTAATGGGGGCTAGTCATATCCCAGAGCGTGGAAAGACATTTAGCATCTACTATCCTATCTGATTACTGTCCCGCAAATTATCCAACATTATTAATATATATTAATAATAATGTGATTATCATAAACCTATTCTTCCCACTTTGTTCATAGTCAGCTTCGTTTAGATGTCATTTTCATGCGTCTGGTTGCCCATATTTTTAGCGTATTCAATTCATTTACTTATTCTGACCGTCATCTTCTCTTGAGTACTCTACAGTCTACCTTCCTAGTTTTTCACATTACAACTAACCAATCAATTGCACGATAACGTGGCAGCTACCGGTTCTTGCAACCCTAGCACTTGAGATAAATGGGTCCACTAAAATTAGAGATATGCAAACATTCAGAAACTATTTGGTTCACCAATCTGATGCTATCAAACGTTATATTACCCTCATTTAACTTTATTGGGGACAATAACACTAGGGAAATAATTCACTTAGAACAACTCTCCATAAAAATATTAGATCTTGATTTCTTCTTGTAGTATGGGGTAGCTGGATAACCTGCTAGAACAGGATATATCCCAACAATGTGTGGTGCGTTCGCGAGGTAGGGTCTCTCAACATCAGAAGTCTGACAAAGAATCACTTTAGGAACAACTTTCTCTTCTTGGTTCTAAATGATGACCTCTTAGATAAAATTAACTTTCCGACTGTCATATGCTCAAGTGATAGCAAGATGTGGAGGTCTATTAGAAAGGAAAACGATTCATTCGAGCTCCAAAAAGACCATACAACGGCAGAGGGATGGGCGGTAGACGGCAGGTTAACGCTTAACCAGTCGAAATGTTATGTTACGAACATTCTGCCTCATTCGACAGAAATAATCTACGTGCTTCGTGGAAATTTGCTTACTATTGCCTCCTCAGCACGTAATCTCAGGCTACTTTCACAGAGAGCTCAGACGCCATCTGAAACTACATTCAGGATGCAGTCGAAACAAATGCAACTCTTCACTTTATGCAAAGATAACTTGTCACAATCGCCCCAGAATTGTTTCCTTCATTTTAACACGTACCCGAAACATCACTGCAAAGTCCAAAATATTGGGTCTCCACATTTCGAACGAGACATAAATATCTCAAACCAAGTATGAAGACCGACAACCAAACAGGTTAAAGAATAATTTTACAAAGACAGACTACGACACTTTGAATTATTCTCGCTGAGCTATAAGATAGTGGATGTTGATCTGATAATGATGTACAACATATGAGTATGCCAAGTCGCCCCAACACGTGCATCCCACCAGAACATTATTAGCATACTTAGCAAACCAACCACCGGAAAACTGCACATCAAGATGAGAAAGCTCGGTCACGCTCTCATTTTTTCTCATTGGGAGTCTCGCCCATTTGGAGTGTTCTCACAACCGAAATGATCGCGGCTTCCTCAGTGCATACCTTCAAGAAGAGATTTGACAAACACACGCTTACCCATAGGTTACCATCTACCACTTTGACTAGCAGTGCTGGATGCATGTCTCGTAACTTATCTACTACTATCGCTATCAAATGTCATTAATTTACTTCTACCTCACTCACTATCAATTCCGTCTCCCCTGTTCTTTCTACACTTTGATCTGCTTACGGTGTTTCCATTTCTAATTTACTAACCTGTTTATTTACTTACTCCTTGAAGCGGTTGTTCACTTTTAGCATTGGAGTTTTCATTTTATTGTTTCTCAAATTGCAATAATCTAACCTGCTTTCTGGTAATGTGACATTTCCTGGTTCGAGAAACCTCAAATGATCTGAGACAAACCCACTCACTATCGTTAGAAGATGTACAAATCCACAACAAGATACCAAACTGAGTAGAAATAATAAAGTCGAGTGGCTAGACTGTCACTCACTGAACACTGCAAAGGGCCTAAAAGCGCACAAAAACGACAAGAGACGAGGACAGAAGGATCAATCGATTTTCATAAGCTCGTAAAGAATATATTGGACTTTGGCGGTGTCTCGCGGGTGTTTATTTGTGCTGCCTGGTGCCTTAAGGCGCGAGAATTTGTGTGTTAACTGTTCTTGTGATTCTTTATATGATTGTTCGGTGGGTTTTCGCATCGTTTCACAACTTTTATTATGAAATTATCTTATCAAACTGACATCTGCTGCAAAATTTCTATTTTATCGCAAAACTTCAAATGCATGCTGAAGTGTAGGGAAACCATTGAGCTCACCCAACGTCCTGGCTCATTGCGTTCCCTGTTATTGCACTTTTGATTTTGGGACTCGCTAAGTATTTCGTGAATTAACTGTTTTTGTTCTCTCTGTTATCTGAAGAACTATATATGTATTCCGAACATTTAGGTAAAACTGGTGATATATCCGCTGTAAATTGAGTTAGGACGGCAATCGAGAGTCAGCTACCTTTAGTAGGTGCTTCTATTTCCATAAATGTCGCAGTTTTTGCCAATGATATTGTTAATCACTAGCCATGACGCAAGTAGACATCTGACTAACAGTAGTTCCTGTTGTCGAATCTAAATTCTTAAAAGTATCTGAAGGATTATGTATGCTGAAGTAGTTGGATTTGGGGGTACATTTTTTTCCGGGCACTAGGTGATCTGTCTGAGTGTATTTATTCATCTCTTGAGTATAACTGGGGGTATTTCCGAACATTAGACAAAAACTAGCAACTAGACAGCTTCATTTGTTAGCTTTGAATCCGTTCACTAACATTTTAGTCATGAGATACAAACATAACATCACTTATTCCTACAAAGACTGATCACCTTATATATCAGGTGCTTATTGTGCCACCAGAGACAACTTCATTTTTCAGTAGTTTGCTTAGATTTGACCTCTTGTTTGGCAGTCATCGTTAAATGGTACCACGGTGAGACTATAATTTATGGACGACCTTTGAGCGACGTTAAGGTGACCTTGTGAGTGTCTACCTACTTACTAGGGCTAAGTGAGGGTTATAAAGCAGTTTGAAGAATAAAAATTATGATTTATAGTTGATGGTTGGGGTCAGGAATTAGATTTAAGGTTTTCATCATCAACTGACATCAGCTATAATACCAGACTGACTGACTGATAATACCAGGATTCCATTTAGCCAAATGGGTGAATGAGTTTCGCGCCAAAATGCAAGATCTATTATCGTAAATCTGATTGGTTCATCCATAAATTGTAGTCTCGCCGGTACCACAGTTACAATCATTAGCATCCATGAACTTGATGCATTCTTAGACGGTTTATTGTAGTTCACACTGAGGTCTAGTTAACTAAATCTAACCACCCTAAATGTCTCCAAATGATTTCGATGTGGCTGTATCACTAATTTGATCTGCATTGGTCCCACCATCTTAAATGTAAATTCCAATAGCTTAGTGTGAATCACACTGCTTCTTGGCACCAAATTGTACTAATTTTATGTGAAATAAGTAAAAGTAAATACATTCTCCACAGTGGGGTTCCTAGGGCAATGTATCCCATCCACTTGTTTCTCATGTTTGACGTAAAACGTGCAGCAAATCTGCACCGTCATTTGGCTCATGATTGTATATATATTCACTCTACCATAATTTAAACTTTGATTCCCAACGTCAATTCATAATACTTATGTTGCAAATTTATCCTTTCTTTTCGGACTGCGTCCTTTATCTTTGTTCTTTTTGCTATCACTGATACTACTATCATCTCAACCTATTTACCAAGAACCTTGTTGATTTCGCTTTACATTATAAAATTAACGAGATTCTTGGTAAAGGAGTTGAAATAATAGTAGTATTAATGATAGCGAAAAGACTAAAGATAAAGGACGTAGTCCGAAAAATAAGCTTGCAAAATAAGGAAAATGACGACGTTGAGAATCACTCTAAATTATGGTATCGAGTGAATACATACGCAACCCAACAGCGAATTTCTAGTCACCCTGTTAATGACACTACACGTACCAATATAGAATAATGGTCAATGGCACCGTCTGTTTAATAGCTATCTCTAGAGGTCATACAGATAACTGTGACTGCGACAAAATTAGTCCAAAGGAATTCTGTATCTGAAAACGCACTAGGATTATTCATTTCGTCTCTTGCGGCCTACAACCTGATGTGTGGCGTTATGTGGGTTTTTTTGAGGTAAAGGAGATAGACACATCTACAATACAACGCTATAAAAAATGCTTGATTCAAACCATTGGCTTTAATATGGAACGTGTGATCTAACTTTACTTAAACGGCTGGTAAGTATATGTTCAAATTGCTAGTTTAACGACGAATTACTGACATCCACAAAGTCGTAATAGTACATTTATTTAAAACTGAAGACAGGTTTTGTGATCCCATACATCCGGGACTACTTAAATCTGTTATGATATTCGAAGTGTAACAACACCGACTATTTTTCCAGTTATCTTTTAATTATGTGATGAAGATTAAAAGATTGGATTCAGTAGTAAAAGTGTTATCTTTGTCTTTCAGATAAGCCTAACATGGTTACAGCTGTTCAACCAATGTTTGGTCTTTTAAAACGACTCCACCTACATCCAATGGAAAATGCTTTAAATGAATTAGGTCCACAAACTTCCCTTCTGCAATCTATAAAGTTTGTAAGTTGTATCTGTTCCTCAGCCATTTCAATAGAAAGCCCAGCCATTTCTGTTTCGTAAAACCAAATCTGAAGAAATACGACGTAATCACGACAGTATGGGCCAGAAGAGACCATCAACTTACCTTTCTAACACGGACCTGAAAACTGCCAAACGTTGTAAGTCTTATTTGCTATTATTCACCACTTCCACTATTTCAGCATAGTCTCTTAGTTGCCTCATTCTTTATGTGACCCAAAATTATTCATTACAAAGAAAAACTTGATAATACGTCAGTGAGTGTTGAATACGAGTTTTAAAGACTTGTTTTGCGTTAAAATGATGATTAAAACGCTGATCAACAAGTGATACACAGCTACACAATTTGGTCCACTGTTATGTGCTTGCCGCATCGAATTATTGACGTTAGTCTACGGGTGGAATGTAACGAAAAGACAACACAACTGCTCAAAGAATAAATTCCCACTAGTTAAATGACATGGTTGCGTACAAAATATTTAAAACAAAAACAAATGGTTGGGAGTTATTCGAAATAAGTAATTGGAAGACGTGGATTTTATATGTTGCTCAAACCTTAACGAAATTAATGTCTGTCTATCAACCTCATATGATTAATTGATGTAATTTTTGATGTAATGTTTGCTAGGACGAAAATCCTTCATTACTATACTACTTCACACTCAAAGTATCTGGTTCTGTTTCTTCTGCAGGATATTTCATTTTAAACGACCTTTTTTACAATCACGATTAGTTTCTAAATCGGGGGTATGCGAAACTGTTCAGACACAATATTTTTATTCATCCTCCACAAAAGTTGTATCTGAACTATCATGTGTAATAGACTATTTAAGAAACTAGAATCATTAATTACGGTCTCTATCTCGTTCAAACGTTATGTTGTATCGGAAATCAACTATCCTTTTAAGTAAATTAGTACGATGTTATATTTTGAATTCAATTGATGTTGAATATTAATTTCGACCCCACTTTCCATGAGTTGTGATAAATAAAACCTGATTCTCGAATTTTTCATGCAGAACACTATGAATTGTAAGTCTCATCAACTTTACGATCTGGCAATATTTTAGTATATCCATACAGATCCTAATCAAATAATCTGACTTTTTATGTAAACCGTAGCATTCTTATAGTAATTGCATTTTTTCTCTGCTTTTTTTTAGCCCGCCGTGTTACGAAATTAACTGATAAGATCGTAAATTCCGTGGATGTAAACTTTAAACCTAATTATGAGAATTCAAGCATAAGTTATTCAACTTTATCTCCTGGGGTAACCCCATCAAATCCACCGATCTTTCCATCTCCTACTTCAATCAATTCCCCCAACCTTTCTGTATCTAATGTTTCATATTCTTTACGCATCCCGAACTCTAGCGAAACTCCAGTAATTTCTCATCCGAAATATCTGTGCCTCCAAAACTCCCCGCACCCAGTTTGCCAGTATCGATCCCAAGTTACTCCCGTCGTTAGAACTAATCCCACAGAGTACCAGACACGGATTTCTACACGCAGTACGGATTCATTATTGGATGAGAATCATTTTGTGACTGAAGAGGAAATACCCGCTAATTCTATTTGTGCAAAGGACTCCCTCCATTTAAATAAAATAACTGGTCATCTTAGTGGACAGAATCCTAAGGATGTTCGATACTTGAGTCGCTCACGTAATACCAGCAGATTGTCTCCTGTATCTTCAGTATCGAAAAGATATGATAATTCTGACGATAACAAATGTGATGTGAAGTTGAGAAACAAAGATAAAGTTATGATTGTACACAAGGAACCACCAAAGCGTCGGAAATCTATTGATCAGCTTATTGAACCTTCGATTCATGGATTACCAGATCCCGAAATGTCCACTAAACCTCGTGCACGAAAACCAACCCAATTTTTACAACTTAATGCACAAACTACTGAGCCTTCGTGTAATGATCGAAAGCCCGCCTATCTCACTACTCAGTCATATTATTATGTACCAGATTTTACTAACCGTCATCCCCAAAGTCCAGAAACCGTCCAAGGTCATGTGATGGAGCCGAGAGGTATACCAAAGATGTCCAATTCTGCTGTTCTTATTGAGGGTAAGTTATATTTTTGCTGTTATCTCGTCAATTTCCGATCACAATTTTATTTGAAAGTATTATCACATAAGGTTATCTCTTCAATTTGAGGGTTAAAAAAGTCATGTAAAAGTAGTAATTGATTGGCAAAAGTACAAAAATAACCAGCTAACTTTGCAGGCTCCAACGACGGCGTTAGGGAATATATATAGCTGTCACTAGGTTTTGTTAATTTTTTATGTAAACTAACAGAAAAACGGAATACAAAGGTTTTGATGCTTTTGATAAACTCATCTAATGAAATAAGAGTACATCAGAATTTCAATCAATAGCTTTCTGGTTTAAAAGTATTCCGTTTGTTAATTAATCAAGCTGCTGAAATATAGTAACGAAAAACAATCTCAATGTTATTTTACATTATTACCCATCAAGCAAGTCATGACAAAACTTTTACACTACTACCGATGCTAGAGACCTACCTGTTATCATTTTATGACTGAAGTACACATTAAGTTCGCTGGACATTCGCTTTTCGTCCTCTCGGTTTCGTAAACAACACCCCCGCCACGAAAAGGCAGTGAGTAGGACTTCCCTGGCAGAGGCTGTATACGCATGGCCGTGTGAGAGCATTTCGAGAGGGATGGAGGGCCCACCCCACTCTCGGCCATACCAGGGCATTTGGGGGCCGGCGCTTTAACCGGATTCCAAACCAATGGTGCACATGGGCCCCAGTATACTGCAGGAACAAATGGCGTATCAACCAATCGTTGGTCACTGGCTACCATGAGACTGTATCTCCTCACGATGCTCTATTGCCTTGTGGGTCAGACCTTTAGGTCCAAGGCTCGGGTTGTGGCCCCCTAAGAAAACCACCTGCTTCAGTCTGGGCACCCGGGCAGTATCCCAGCCCTCACACAAATCGAATTATTTATGTGGCGCATATGTATTTGGTGCCTCCTTGTACCTGTGTTTATGTGTTTAAATAAAATTAAGTTCAAATTTTCTAAAAGTTACAGAAGTCCATTCTACCACTGCTATAATCATGGTGACCTTTTCAAAACTGAAGATTTTTACTTATGTAACTCTAGTTAATTGTAAGTTCATTTGGTTTTAAACTGCATGTTTTCCACGTTACTGGGGTGCCGAAGCTAGAATAGATGGGGTTATGATCAAACTTGCGATCTACTGGTTTATTGTCAAGTGATTTTGTCACTAAGCCATTAATCTATGACTTTCCAAAATATTAAGTATTGTAGTCAGTATCGTCATGAATTACTGCTGTTTTTATGTATATTATCTCTATGACCCTCATTCTTTAACTAATGTTCTTTTACAATACACACCAAGCAAACCACTTCTCCACAGCATCTTGTGATAAAAGAAGATTTATATACAGAAGAACTCGACAATATACGTTTTAGAAATCAGTCAGTCAGTAACAACGTAGAACTTCGTACGTACGTACATCAGTTCGAGTCGCCGCACGACATTAGCACAGAGATGTAGTGGTCGATTCAAATCCCGTAGTGGTAGAGGTAATAAGAGTATAAGCAGTAATCGGGAAGATTAGTGTTTGGAGATGTTACTTAAAGAGCATAATAAAGTGAAATAAATTTGGGAAGAGAAAAAAAGACAAGGAGAAATAAGGAGATCAAAATTTGGGAAAACACAAAGAGTGTATGCACCTGCGCCATTGCAAACGATTTTGAGCCAATGTCATTCAGGGTCTCTAACCATCGGTTGCTATCATCTCGCGGTCCACAACCAGCTAGTCTACACCTACCGACATGACTCAGACCACTTGTCAGTGACTTCATGGACTTGTGCCATGTTTTGGTCTGGCCGCCCCTAGCTTTCTTCCAACCTACTCCTATACCACTGAACATCGCACGTTGAGGCAGTCGGTCGTTGGGCATACGTAACACGTGTCCCAGCCATCTCAACTGATGAAGTTTCACTACTTCATCAATGGATTTGCCATCCTTACCTAGTACCCGTTTCCTAACAACTGCATTACTTACTCGATAGTCCCATGATATACGAGCAATGTTTCGAAGACACCTATGATCGAACACTAGTAGTCTACGAATATCCTCTACTCTTACCGGCCATGTTTCACTGCCATAAAGTAGGACGGAACGTACTGCTGCGCAGTAAACCCGTCCTTTGGTTGATAGACGGATATCTCGCCTACGCCATAAATGACGCAAGTTGGCAAAAACTAGTGGAGCCTTCTGTATCCGTGCTGAGATTTCTTCACACACCAGACTACAAGGGCTGATGAGACTTCCAAGATAAGTGAAGCGATCGACATGATTAATTACTTCACTCTCTATCATTAGTTCGGATGTCAATGCAACCCAATCCTGAAGCAACATTTTGCATTTCGAGGGGGAGAATCGCATCCCGAACATGCTTGCATTGTTGCTTAGAGTGGTCAGAAGACTCTGCATTTTGTAAGCATCTTCGCCAAATAAAACTATGTCATCAGCATATTCTAAGTCAACAAGTGAACCTCCCAGTAGAAGTTCAACCCCTGTAAATTTAGATGAGGAAAGTGTTATCTTTAAAAGTACGTCAATGACCAAGTTGAACAGGAATGGAGAGAATGGACAGCCCTGACGAACATCACTTGAGGTAATCAATTCTGATGACAGTTCGCCATAAGCTCTCACTCTACTAGTTGTGTTCGAGTAGAGAGCATGTATGAGGTTAATGTACTTCTTTGGTACTCCTTTCAGTGACAAACACTGCCATAGAACCTTACGATCAACAGAGTCGAATGCCGCCTTAAGGTCGGGAAATACTACCATTGTGGGGCGTCTGAACGTATGTCTGTGTTCTAGAATCTGACGTAGTGTGAATATCTGATCTATACAACCACGTCCAGGTCGAAAACCAGCCTGATTTTCTCTAGTTTGCTCTTCACGAGCTTTGGTTAGGCGTCGAAGTATTATTGAAGCTAATATTTTAGACACTATACTAGTCAAACTGATTCCTCTATGATTGTCACAAGAGGACTTTTGTCCTTTCTTATAGACTGGCACAATCAGTGATTGAGACCAGCCAGATGGGATTACGTCCAGTTCCCAAATTCTACCTAAGACCTCAGTTAATCTCACTACTAATACTGAACCACCATCCTTAAAAATCTCAGGAGTAAATCTGTCAGGGCCTGCTGCTCTCCCTCGCTTCAGATTTCCTATGGCTTTTTCAACTTCGTAAAGAGACGGAGGACCTACATTAACTTGCCATTCAGGTTGACTGGGGATCGTGGGGAATCGAAGTGTGGCTGAAGGCCAGTTGAACTGATCCCTGAAGTGTTCTGCCCATCGATCCAATCTCCTGGATTGAGAGTGTATAATATGTCCATCTTTCTCTGAGATTGTTTCGCTAACAGTCGGTTTCCTAATACCGGTTTCCTTAACAAGTCTGCACAATTGTGTGCCATTACCTATTGCCGTTGCCTTTTCCATCTCTCTTGCTTTCGCTACCCACCACTGTTCACGATCATTGCGTAGACTTCTTATCAGCTTGCTCTTAAGCTGACTCCGCTCTTCATTATGTTCAGAACCAGGCGGAATGAGTTTCCGAGCATCTATCAGTGCGATAGATGCTGCTGAGACCCAGTGTCGTTCCCTAACCTTACGGGTTACCGTACTAGCAGATATCACTGCTGTTTCCACAGCTTTTCGGATATCATTCCATGCTGCCTCGGGGTGGGCATCACATACATGGCTGCCTAACTGTTTTCCTAGTTGTTCCTGAAATATACTCTTAGCTTGACTATCATTAAGTAGGCCCCTAAGAGGTTTACTTACAGCGTCTTTCCTACGTCCAGTAAGACGCAAGCAAATACGCGCTCGCACTAGAGCATGATCTGAATCTAAGCATGTGCTCCAGAATGAGCGACAGTCTTCTATCGAGCCCCTCCTTCGGTGGCTAATAGCGATGTGATCTTTTTGGGTCCAACGTTGGGACGAATTAGGGGGTTGCCATGTTAAAAGATGTTTTTCCTTATGCTTAAAGTTAGTATTTGCAAGGAACAGGCAGTTATCTGAGCATAGCTGCAACAGACAATCGCCATTAAATGTTCTTTGAGCCACGACATTATAAGATCCACCCAGGTGTCTTTCCCTATCGCTTAATCTACCTACTTGAGCATTAAAGTCACCGGCCACTGCTCTGGGACTCAATGCTATACCTACGCCGACGAAGTCACGGGAAGCAGAATCAGGGCTTCCAGATACACGAAGTGTGAATCGAGTCGGTTCTTTATTTTGGCATGGTGAGGTCAAATGAATGACGCTACTCGGATCTTGTATGCGCGTTTCGGAGACGCAGCACACATCGATGGCGCGAGATTCTAAAGTCCTAGTTAAGGAAGCCTGTTGTCCTATTTGGCACAGTGTTCGGACGTTAAAAGCTCCTATGTGTAGTTTAGAGCGTGGTTTCAGGAGACCAGGAATCGAGTTCCACGTACTCGAATCGTTTGCTCTAGCGGTGCGATGCGATAAAGAGACATGAGGAGGGTTAGTCATGGAGATAAGAGAGGTATTAGGAGGTGTAGGAGGGATTTGAATGTGACCAACTTGGTCTCGTGTGCTGTTACGGGTATGAGGGCTGATATCACTTCCCGGCTGCCCACACCGTGGAAGGGTATTTCTTGAGGAACCTGAAAAAGAAGTCGGATTAGTGTTGGTCTTAACGACCTGGGAGCGTGATCGCAGAGCCGAAGGGACAACTGCTTGAGGCCGGTCGCGCACGGCCCTTTCGTGGAAGGTTTTAAATGTGTTAGCTCCGTTCTTCAAAGGACCTTACCGCCGGAGACGGAAACCCGTGAGGTAAGGTGAGGTGTGACATTTTTAGGGTCGACCTTTTCTAACCCCACCCCTCCTTGTGGGAAGGCAGCATCGCTGTCATGCTGGTTGTCTGAGGGAAACACCTTACTGCTGTCACACCTCTCTACAGTCAGCAGTACGACTTCGCCCTCAGACCTTGAGTTGCTACTTTTAGTCTTACCGTTCACCAATCGACCTGCCTGGCATGGTAGAACCTACAGGAACATATGTTCGAGCCAATATAGCTCGGTTGGGTCATCACGATAGGCAAGCCCGACCACCGCGTCAAGGTAGCAGCTTCGGTCGGGACGTTTTAGAAATAATTTGTAGCTAAAATTATTTGTCGACTAGGCATTCAGTTTTGTCCCCATAATTTGTTATTGTGATTTTTCCCCATACAAGCCTCATTTCTTACATTTCTTTGTTTAGTTCCTAGCTGGCGTGTTATACCTATCCCAGGTGTCGATATCTATACGGATTGTTCTTGTGGAGCAAAACATTGCAAATCATGCCCCAAAAAACACCCAGACAGACGAAAACTAACAGATACGGATACTCTTAAACCATGTAATCTCCGCGCCTTACGATCCAGCTTACTGACTATTAACTCTGTCCATTCAAATAAAAATTATCCAACTTCAGAACTTAAGTCAAAACCCAGGTCTAGATCTTCCCAGACACAAAAAGAGCATTACCAAGTTGGAGAACCTATCAAATCAGTTGGTGTTTTGGATGAAAACATATCAGATCCAGCATTCCTTGCTCGCCATTCGCGTTTGGAAATTGAGGAAGTTCGTCACGAACGCTTATCTCGTCAACGTACTGCAGAACAAGAACTAAAGCAACGTTTAGAAGAAAGGGATCAAGCCAGTTGGGTAAGGGAGAAGCGCTTTACACTGAGTTATTTAAGAGTTAGTAAAAAATCTAAATTATCAGTATGTTAATATTTTCGTATATGATAGTTTGGGTTTCAACCTTTCGGTAGTGTAACATGTCTAGTAACTACATGTTTAATCCTATGTTAACTACTTGTCACACGTACATGGAGAATCAATTTACTACATTTCACAGCTGTATTTTTAAATCTTGATTAGTGGTGTGCTGTAATTGCCTAGCTTTTTGAAGTATAGATTTATGATTTACGAACGAATTTCCGATTATTTAAAATGAAAGAGCAGAATTTTTGTCGATGGGTTGTATTCATTAATACGATGTAGTTGGGTAGTGACTGCTCATGAGATAAATTATTGACGTAAGCCGCTGAGATCGAAGCTAAAACTACTAGCTAAAAGAATAGGTTTTTATATATTAATATGACATGTTCATACAAAAATAACGGGACCAGATGTTTTCAATTATTGGACAAAATTAGTTTTGTAGATCGCTCATTCTCCAATAGATAAGGGCCTAATTGTTAGACTCCACCATATCACCCAGTTAGGTAGCCAAATTTGTTTTCGTATTTCTCTGGTTACCTTAATGTTTCGTTTCTAATGAGAAAATAAGTACAAGTCTAATTTTTACATATTCTACAGATGGTTTCTGTCGAAATTTACTCGGTACAAGTGTTAGAACAAACTGAGGATAACCGTTCATCGTTAACATTCCTATTTCAACTCTTAGATTAACCAAAACTAATTCAATCCTGGTAGGTTTGAAGCTATTACAACTTCACTTAGTATGCGAACGGAACAAAGACTTGTGACCGTAGACCAATAAGCTAGCTATTTGATGTGTCCCAGCCTCGCTAACTAGAGGAAGAAGTCCAAGCTTGGAGCGGGAAAGCATATTCCGTAAACCAGAAGCACGAGTGAATAATAACAGACAAATCAAACATATATATATACAGCATAAAACTGTCCTTGGGAAGCGTAACAAAAATAGCGTACAAAAAATACACAACGGACCAATAGCGTTGGAGATTCTCCAAAGTGAGAAATATGACATGAAGGTGAAAAAGAGCGATTTTGGCGTGAAAACAAGGAAAGTTAAATTTCTAAAATAAAATTACAAAATTAAGGGATTTACCAAGTGAGTTCTGGGGATCTAACATCCCCAAAAAATCCCAGCTATAAACTCCGCTAAGAAGCGACTCACTAGTTTAAGAGAATTTAAACTGCTTGTAATATTCGTTCAGTTTTTGCACTGTTTGTATGTAAAGTAGATTGCTTTCATCGTCCACCAATTTCACAATCTTATTTTATGAAGCTTTTTTATATACATTCCCTTGATTAGCATAAGAGACAACCTGGTCGTTTGGATCCACTTCTGAAGTATAGACCAGCTAGTCGGATGCCGACTCAGCTAAGCTACGCACTCAAGCAAGGTTAGAACATTTTTGGAAACATTTTTTATTCTTCCTTTTTCGACCCATATTTTAGCATCATTAAAGCTTAAAAAGAACTCGTTTCGATCCAATAGAATTTATAAACTGTTATGTGGATCATTAAGTATTTTATTTTCGTGTTTAAGTTGTGAATTTTCAGATATTATTCAGTTCATTTAGTCCGTTAAGGCGGACATCCTTGACGAAAGCCGTATGATTCCCAGTTGATATTGTCATAGATTATTACCCATATCAAATTGTATGCAGAAAGTTAATAAAAATAAGAGTCTATGCTCACTTAAAATCCAATATTTATTATGCTGCAACACTATATGACTTAATAATTCACCTGCTAAGTAAATCAAGATTATGTATCCACTCAATGTTCAGTAGGACGATAATACTTGAGTTACATTAAACCGCTCTGATTCTCCACTCTAGTCCGACTAACGTAACTCAATCCACATTTTCACCAATTAATTTGCTTTCCCTAAATAGATCATCTGACTTCAATGCAACAGCATAATATGAATCACAGTCAACATATTTCTACATTTTTTACTTACCACTACTACAATAACAACATTTATAAAAAGACACTTTATGATCATGTTTAGGTTTGTTTTGATTTACTGGTTACTTAAAATCATTCTATACATTTTCAAACCATATTTTGAAAATTTGTTCCTTGTTTATCAACCCAATGTTTCCATCCCATCAATCTTTGTTATTCACTTTTTTCCAAGGACATCAATTTCACGTAGACAACTCTATACCGGTGGTCGCATTCGGTTGTCGTGTGCCATTAGCCTCACTAAAGTAAGTGATTGATACTTGTTCTCATAATTCAGCTAATACCCTATACTTTATACATTGTTTTCATTTTTTGATAGTTTTACAACTATAACTGGTTGTGTTGTTGCAATAACTTCTGACACTAGTTGTGAACAGTTGACTGCAATCTATGGTCATCAAATAAAAAGACTGTCGAAAAATAACTGATAGCTACTAACTTATCATCCACGGCTGAATAAAAACGATTACTTGTGCGAAATACAACGAATGAATGTGTCTGTCGTATTTGATGTAGTCCACTTATAATCTTGAATCACTAGTTTCTATCATCTAGAGATTCTTCTCCAAAAACATGCATTTCCCTACATGACTCAAATAAAAAATCATAGATTGATCCTATGATTAGATTAATATCAACGTTGACAAGAGTTACTGACCAGTCGAAAACTGATGCATAGAATAAATCAATTTCTGGAAGTATTATAAAGATTTCAGTGTAATCTATACTTCATGTTTATGTTTTCTTTTTTATTGATATCGTATTCAGTACCTTGAAATCATTGTCGTAATGGAAATATAAATATCAGGGACTGTTTATTGATCGACTTGGTCATTAATTTCCTCTCACTGTTGATGTAGTAGTACATAGTTATGCAGTATCGTATGTCATTTTCGCATGACTATCGTACAACCAAACAAAATACGTGGATTTCAGATCAGGACAGGTAGAAATCTTGTATATGGAAAGATAGTTGCACATTCGTGGTTCCAATTTAAGTGGTGAGCTGTCACATTCAGTATTCGGTGTCAACAGTTTCTACAAACTATTCACCATTGATTCATAAATTCTAACTTATGAACCATAACTTAGGGCGACTTGTCTTCGTGGACTTTAACTCAACCTTATCGTTTTAATGATAATGCTTCTAATTATGTTACTAAACATTCGAACCAAGTAGGTTTAGGGGGACACCTTATTCAGCAATGTCGGTAACTGTAATATTTGTGAATTTAATCTTTATAGCTTTTGGACATCCATCATCGCGCCTTTTATTTTTCTCTTTATAGACCGTTCACAAAGTTCAGCATTCAATAAATTCGCACTAAAGTCAGGTTATTCACAGCATGTACAGTCTTTCGGTTTAACTTTTGAAGCTTTTCACATTGTATATATTAGCTTTTGTTACACTATTGTTCCTGCGATTTATCCTTCCATCATCAGGTGGTTAAGTGCTTGATTCCTGTTATCTACCCTCACAAATACAATATACTGACCCTAAAGCTGCTTCCTTTGAATTTTCTCTTTGTTAATATCAAATTTATTTTCATCCTTGGACTGACGTTATTATTATTTGACCAAATCATCCATATATCAGTTTTTCGATAAGGTTCATTTTCTAAATAATACTATATTTTAAAAAAGATTACAAATCTAACTTTATGCTATTGTAATTCAGTAGTTTAACTTCAGCTGTTTTAATCCTTACCAGAAACGATTTCAATAATCCACTTCATAAGTTTGTCGTAATGACCGTAAAGCTCTGTATAGAATTCCACATGTCTTTTACGCTAGTTTTTCTTTCAGCTTACTACACTACCTAAATACATGTATGCATTTCTTTTCATATAAAAGATCTGTATTTATAATTCTATTGTTTTCATTAAATCCACCATCAGTTAGCTTTACACTTTAACACAATATAAGTTAGTAATGTTTACTCCTGTAAAAAGTATTTGATGGTAAAATCATTTAGGTAAGTTACTAGTTAATTCTTATCCTGGCATTTATGTCGAAATGAAAACTGAAAGGATAGGTGAATAAAAAAGAGTTATTAAAAGTATAGCTTGGAGAGGTATTTTTCTGCTACAGAAAATAAAACGAAAGTCAGTTTCGGCTCTCTAAGCTGAAATCATGTGTGGTAATTTCTGCAACGGTCTCTAAACTGAGATCAATGAAATTACCTGTATTTTTCACTTCCGGACGGGTGCTGTGAGCTAGCTCAACCCCGTCCACGGGTCGGCCTCGTATTGCATTATCTCGAGGATTGGCTAGCCACCAGATGCCCTGGTACGACCGAGGGTGGGGAGAGTCTTCTCTCAAAATGCTCACATGGCCACGCATATAAGGTTACTGCCAGGAAAGTCCTACTCACTGCCTTCTCGCGGCATTACTATTGTTTACAAAATTGAGAGTACGAAAGCGAGTGTCCGGCGCCCTAACCGGGTTGGTGGATATGGATGATCCACCTAGGGGAGTTAAAAAATCCTGTTTCCAAACCAATGGTGCACATGGGTTCCAGTATCCTGAGGAAACAAATGGCGTATGAACCAATCGTTGGTCACTGGCTACCATGGGACTGCATCTCCCTACGTTGATCCACTACCTTGTGGATCAAAATTTAAGGTCACAGTGTCTGAGTGTGACCCCCTAGGAAAATCACCTGCTTCGGTCTTTGCATCCGGGCAGTATCACAGCCCACACACAAATGAAGTGACTTGTGTGGCGCATATGTATTCAGTGCCCATTTGTACCAATATTCATGTTTTCAAATAAATAAGTGGAGATAGTAAAACTTCACATCATTTACTTCCCATAGGCAACCAACATATCCAGCTCTGTCGCATTTCATTGTTAGGAAACCTTTGTCACTTATTCCTTACGAAACTTCACTTATGCTACTGTTTGTGAAGTGTTCAAGTATTCATAAGGACAAATATTTTTCAAGATCTTTGATCAATTCTTTAGGTTGGTAAGACTCACTACCCGACCGAAGCTGCTATTTTGACGCGGTGGTCGGGCTTGCCTATCGTGATGACCCAACCGAGCTATATTGGCTCGAACATATGTTCCTGTAGGTTCTACCATGCCAGGCAGGTCGATTGGTGAACGGTAAGACTAAAAGTAGCAACTCAAGGTCTGAGGGCGAAGTCGTACTGCTGACTGTAGAGAGGTGTGACAGCAGTAAGGTGTTTCCCTCAGACAACCAGCATGACAGCGATGCTGCCTTCCCACAAGGAGGGGTGGGGTTAGAAAAGGTCGACCCTAAAAATGTCACACCCCACCTTACCTCACGGGTTTCCGTCTCCGGCGGTAAGGTCCTTTGAAGAACGGAGCTAACACATTAAAAACCTTCCACGAAAGGGCCGTGCGCGACCGGCCTCAAGCAGTTGTCCCTTGGGCTCTGCGGTCACACTCCCAGGTCGTTAAGACCAACACTAATCCGACTTCTTTTTCAGGTTCCTCAAGAAATACCCTTCCACGATGTGGGCAGCCGGGAAGTGATATCAGCCCTCATACCCGTAACAGCACACGAGACCAAGTTGGTCACATTCAAATCCTTCCTACACCTCCTATTACCTCTCTTATCTCCATGACTAACCCTCCTCATGTCTCTTTATCGCATCGCACCGCTGGGGCAAACGATTCGAGTACGTGGAACTCGATTCCTGGTCTCCTGAAACCACGCTCTAAACTACACATAGGAGCTTTTAACGTCCGAACACTGTGCCAAATAGGACAACAGGCTTCCTTAACTAGGACTTTAGAATCTCGCGCCATCGATGTGTGCTGCGTCTCCGAAACGCGCATACAAGATCCGAGTAGCGTCATTCATTTGACCTCACCATGCCAAAATAAAGAACCGACTCGATTCACACTTCGTGTATCTGGAAGCCCTGATTCTGCTTCCCGTGACCTCGCCGGCGTAGGTATAGCATTGAGTCCCAGAGCAGTGGCCGGTGACTTTAATGCTCAAGTAGGTAGATTAAGCGATAGGGAAAGACACCTGGGTGGATCTTATAGCATCGTGGCTCAAAGAACAGATAATGGCGATTGTCTGTTGCAGCTATGCTCAGATAACTGCCTCTTTCTTGCAAATACTAACTTTAAGCATAAGGAAAAACATCTTTTAACATGGCAACCCCCTAATTCGTCCCAACGTTGGACCCAAATAGATCACATCGCTATCAGCCACCGAAGGAGGGGCTCGATAGAAGACTCGCTCATTCTGGAGCACATGCTTAGATTCAGATCATGCTCTAGTGCGAGCGCGTATTTGCTTGCGTCTTACTGGACGTAGGAAAGACGCTGTAAGTAAACCTCTTAGGGGCCTACTTAATGATAGTCAAGCTAAGAGTATATTTCAGGAACAACTAGGAAAACAGTTAGGCAGCCATGTATGTGATGCCCACCCCGAGGCAGCATGGAATGATATCCGAAAAGCTGTGGAAACAGCAGTGATATCTGCTAGTACGGTAACCCGTAAGGTTAGGGAGCAACACTGGATCTCAGCAGCATCTATCGCACTGATAGATGCTCGGAAACTCATTCCGCCTGGTTTTGAACATAATGAAGAGCGGAGTCAGCTTAAGAGCAAGCTGATAAGAAGTCTACGCAATGATCGTGAACAGTGGTGGGTAGCGAAAGCAAGAGAGATGGAGAAGGCAGCGGCAATAGGTAATGGCAGACAATTGTGCAGACTTGTTAAGGAAACCGGTATTAGGAAACCGACTGTTAGCGAAACAATCTCAGAGGAAGATGGACATATTATACACTCTCAATCCAGGAGATTGGATCGATGGGCAGAACACTTCAGGGATCAGTTCAACTGGCCTTCAGCCACACTTCGATTTCCCACGATCCCCAGTCAACCTGAATGGCAAGTTAATGTAGGTCCTCCGTCTCTTTACGAAGTTGAAAAAGCCATAGGAAATCTGAAGCGAGGGAGAGCAGCAGGCCCTGACAGATTTACTCCTGAGATCTTTAAGGATGGTGGTTCAGTATTAGTAGTGAGATTAACTGAGGTCTTAGGTAGAATTTGGGAACTGGACGTAATCCCATCTGGCTGGTCTCAATCACTGATTGTGCCAGTCTATAAGAAAGGACAAAAGTCCTTTTGTGACAATCATAGAGGAATCAGTTTGACTAGTATAGTGTCTAAAATATTAGCTTCAATAATACTTCGACGCCTAACCAAAGCTCGTGAAGAGCAAACTAGAGAAAATCAGGCTGGTTTTCGACCTGGACGTGGTTGTATAGACCAAATATTCACACTACATCAGGTTCTAGAACACAGACATACGTTCAGACGCCCCACAATGGTAGTATTTCTCGACCTTAAGGCGGCATTCGACTCTGTTGATCGTAAGGTTCTATGGCAGTATTTGTCACTGAAAGGAGTACCAAAGAAGTACATTAACTTCATACATGCTCTCTACTCGAACACAACTAGTAGAGTGAGAGCTTATGGCGAACTGTCATCAGAATTGATTACCTCAAGTGATGTTCGTCAGGGCTGTCCATTCTCTCCATTCTTGTTCAACTTTGTCATTGACGTACTTTTAGAGATAACGCTTCCCTCATCTAAATTTCCAGGGGTTGAACTTCTACTGGGAGGTTCACTTGTTGACTTAGAATATGCTGATGACATAGTTTTATTTGGCGAAGATGCTTACAAAATGCAGAGTCTTCTGACCACTCTAAGCAACAATGCAAGCATGTTCGGGATGCGATTCTCCCCCTCGAAATGCAAAATGTTGCTTCAGGATTGGGTTGCATTGACATCCGAACTAATGATAGAGAGTGAAGTAATTAAGCGTGTCGATCGCTTCACTTATCTCATCAGCCCTTGTGGTCTGGTGTGTGAAGAAATCTCAGCACGGATACAGAAGGCTCGACTAGCTTTTGCCAACTTGCGTCATTTATGGCGTAGGCGAGATATCCGTCTATCAACCAAAGGACGGGTTTACTGCGCAGCAGTTCGTTCCGTCCTACTTTATGGCAGTGAAACATGGCCGGTAAGAGTAGAGGATATTCGTAGGTTACTAGTGTTCGATCATAGGTGTCTTCGAAACATTGCTCGTATATCATGGGACCATCGAGTAAGTAATGCAGTTGTTAGGAAACGGGTACTAGGTAAGGATGGCAAATCCATTGATGAAGTAGTGAAACTTCATCAGTTGAGATGGCTGGGACACGTGTTACGTATGCCCAACGACCGACTGCCTCAACGTGCGATGTTCAGTGGTATAGGAGTAGGTTGGAAGAAAGCTAGGGGCGGCCAGACCAAAACGTGGCACAAGTCCATGAAGTCACTGACAAGTGGTCTGAGTCATGTCGGTAGGTGTAGACTAGCTGGTTGGGGACCGCGAAATGATAGCAACCGATGGTTAGAGACCCTGAATGACATTGGTTCAAAATCGTTTGCAATGGCGCAGGTGCATACACTCTTTGTGTTACCCAAATTCTAATCTTCTGAATTCTTCATGTCCCCTTTTTTCGTCTTTCCAAATTTATTTCACTGAATTATACTCTTTAAATAACATCTCGAAACACTAATCTTCCCGATCACTGCTTACACTCTTGCTACCTCTACCACAATGGGATTTGAATCGACAGCTGCATCTCTGTGGTGTGTCAACTCGAACTGATCTACGTACGTACGAAGTTCTACGTTGTTACTGACTGACTGAAGACTCACTACTGATCAAGATTCTTTAGACATCAAGCATTAATATCCTTCGTATTCATAGAGTTCGTGTACCTTTCATCATGGAAGAACTTATCTGGATGTGGTGAACTGTTATTGAATTATCAGGGTTATTTTTAACTCGATAATATATCGAAATGTGTGGTTACGTAGTGATCT